ACCTCCTCCTCAACTCGGTGTTAAACTCCGACATTGTTCCACATTCCAAGGTGCTACCCCACATGAAGGGCGATATATAAGTGTAAATTGTTGATATTGTTTGTGGGGCGTTGGGAGCACAAATTGGCTGCTGCGTTCCCCTACAAGATAACAGTCACTTCACTTCACAGTAAAATCCGTTGAAACGCTTTGAGACGTCCTCCTGTCTGAAGGGCCCGATACCAAAAGCCAATATTCTTCTTATTATTACTAATTATTATTATGATGCACTTTGCACCAACTCCACTCAATTCAATCCACATCCGGGCCAGAGTTCCCGTGGTTCGGCGTGACATACTCACTCCAGTTACCACAAATCTGGATCTTTATTAAGGAATCCCGTGAGAAACCGCTGAACCCTAAAGAGCACAGATTGGCCCTTTATCCACAAATGGCCACTTTTGCTGTTATTCTCTTCGAGTAATGCTGTTCATACTGCACTATTTTGCCAACAAATTACACAGTTGCCAATGCTGTACAGTGAAATCATATGAAGCCCTATGAGACGTCCTTCTGATGAGTAAGGTGCTACAAATGCAAGGATTGTTATTATTGGTAATAGCACGTCTCATTCACACATTCATCCACTCCCTTTCCAATGTTCTCCTTGACTGTCTCTCCAGCTCCCCAACCCATAAATTCCAACTGATTTAAGACTCTGCCGTCCATATTCTCACCTGTCCCACTCGAGTCCTTGCCAGGCTCCACTGGCTCCCTATTGCAGAATGGATAAATTTCGAGATTCTCAAACTTACTTACTAATCAATTCATGTCCTAGCACCTCCCTATGTCTTTGACATGCTGACACCCTACTCCACTACCTGTCCCCTTTGCTCAGCTGGCTCCGGACATCTGCACATCCCTTATTCCCTCCAGTCCACCAGCAGCAGCTGTGCTTTCAGCCACTATACCCCCAAATCTTGGAACTCTCTGCCTCAATCCCTCTGTCTTGCCCCTCCAAATCAGATCACACCTAAAGACCTTCCCCTTCAACCGTTTCTGTTTACCTAGTAGTAAGTAGGAACCCAGTTGTTAGTCGATTGGCTGATCGCGTTTCTGGGGTTAATAATTCATTAAAAAAAATTGGTCACTTCAATTCATGACTGTTTGTGGGACACTGCTGTTGCCAATTGGCAGCCGGGTTTTGCTCAAAAAGTATGGTCAATTCACTTTACAGTATATCCTGTGAAGCGCTTTGAGACGTCTCAAAGACGTGATAAGGCGCTAAATCAAGGGCAAGGATTATTATTATGGTCACTTTCCCTCTCCTCACTGGCTCAGCCTCAGGCTCCACCACTGTTTAGTGTTCCAAGATGTAGCTCCGCGTGAAGGGTGCTGTATAATGCAAATTTTTATTGTACTAACCCGTGTTGATCAGATTTGCTTTAGAACATGGTATTACTCAAGACGGACACTAGACGGCGCATGCTACCCACATGTTAAAGTTCCAACTTGAACCCATTGAAGTTTGCCAGAATTCGTCTCAGGGACAGCTCCTGTTACTCTACTCTGAATTACTCCAAAACCTGTCCTAAAACAATTAGCTGCTGCATTTCTATGGGTGGCTTGTGCTCCCCAAGGGCAGTGCCGTCGATTTTAGTGTATTTCAGGTGCTGGGATGTACTCTCATTTCAGGCCCGTCGAGACCTGAAACTCAGTCCAGGCTGAGACTCCAGTGCAGTGCCTGAGTGAGCGTTGCATTGTCAGAGGTGTCTGCTGCAGAGACACTAAACCAAGATCCCGTCTGTGCTTGTTCAGGTGGACGTTAAAAGATCCCACGGCTATACTGAAACCAGGGAGTTTCTCCCAGTGTCCCAGGTAAAATTAGTCATTCACTTCACAGCTGTTGGTGAGATGTTGCTGTGAGCAAAATATCTGCCGTGTTTCGCCTACAAAATACAGTCGCTACAGCTTACAGTATATCCTGTGAAGCACTTTGAGACGCCCTCCTGACTTGAAAGACCTTGTATCAAATGTTAAGGTTGTTATCATTTACAGATGCGGCTGATGGAACGGATGTGCTTGGGCTGTTCTGCAGCATAAGAAATCAGGAGACAAAGAGGCAAAAACAAAAAGGCCAGTTTAAAACGCTAAACCTTTATATTCCACGCCGTTGTATTTAAAAAATAAAGAGGAGAGCGTGCGCGGTCGTCTCACATTGTGAATACATCGCACATTTATATATAAAAAAGGAGTTAGGGGAAAAAACACATCAACAGTCCATTTTAAATACAGAAGAGTTATTTTTACAGGAAGTTGCATTATTTACAAAGTAGGTTCACAGAATTTACTTTATGTTCAGTATTTTACAAACTATTCACATGCATACAACTCACACAGGAAAGTAGCTGCATCTTTCCGTCCCTCCTCCCCAACACCCCAACCCCCCCCCCTGCCCCCCCACAATTCCACATATACATGCTTCTGACTGCATCGGGGGTTCAAGCTTCCAACGCCACCCCCCACCCACCCCCCAAATGTCCGCCCTTTTTCCAACACACAGAACACTGTAAGTCACCTCTAATCTCGTGAAATGGACAATCGTCCCATTGGAGTCCTATAGCGCAGTCGTTAGAGTACTCCCAAGGAAACGAGAGGACCCAGGTTCAATTCCCGGGCAGGGTGAAACTTAGGCAAGTTTCCTTACTGCATTTGCCTCTGTTTACCTAGAAATAAGTAGGCACCCAGTTGTTAGTCCATTGGGTGGATTACTTTTCGGGGGTAATAATCCCTCCCTCCAAAAATTGGTGTCATTCCACGACTGTACAACACTGCTGTGCGCAATTGGCTGCCGCGTTTCGCCCACAAAATGCAGTCAATCCACTTTACAATATATTCTGTGAAGTGCTTTGAGACACACAAGGGGATTTCTCCTCATGTCCTGGCTGCATGGCTGTTTGTGGGAGATTGCAGTGTGTAAATTGACTGCTGTGTTTGCCTACAAAACACATTTTTCCCCCCACCCCCCACACACACACACAAGCCACTACACTTTACAGTGTATTCTGTGAAATACTTTGACATGTCCCTACAATGTGAAAGGTGCTACATCAAAGCGAGGCTTATTATTATTCGGGGTAGAAAACCCACACTCCACAGCTCCGGGCCAAGCAGCGGAGAGCTTTCCTTCAGCCAGTGACTTACACAAATATAATATTACATAAAAGATATGACCGATATGACCCTGGAACTTTGAGTGGTTACAGCACATTGCAATGCGATTACGCTTTCTTTCCACATTGAAGGGTCAAAAATGTGTGTCCAAAGCCAGGTACTGAGATCAACTTTTTCTTTCGCCTTCTCCCTACCCAAATAAGGCGACAACGCCCCTTTAAGATTTAAAAATTTAAAACAGCCAAATACCAACGGTGAACTTTAAAAGTAATGTCGTGCCTTGCAGTGTCAAATGGGCCTTTTCTCAAGCTCACAGGGAAGTCACACACTGATTGCAAGACATGGGCTGGAATGGACAGTGCTAAAGTCCACCGCTCATCCAGTTTCTTGCTTGCAAGCGGGAAATTGGAGGCTGTTAAAAAGAATCTGCAGTGAGAGCAGAGCAAGGCAGCAGCAGTCATCCCACTAGCTGCAACTGGCATTAGCTGAATGAGTGGAGATGAGCTCCTGCCCCACCACCCACCTCTCCTCCCATGGCTCTGTTGCTAAACTCATTCCTCAATGTAAAACTGAGCCATGCAGACTATCATTCCTGGCCTGTGATGAATTATCCGATCCCAAACTATAAGCCTCAGTGCTCCTGGGCAAGGAAAGAGGAGAGAAAAATCAACCCCGGCCCCAAACCTAGTAACCCCACTGGGTCACTGACTGACAGCAAACTCCCAATGGAAGATAAACTTGTGATGTGTAAGATGTGGGTCCAAACAGTTGTCCATCACTCCCAGCTTCTGGGCAGGCAGCCGAGTGCTTTCCCTCAGCCAACTAGCAAAGACCAGGACCAGACCAGTGAGATGGATTTGTGGTAAAAGGGGGAAAGCGGTTATGGAGGCTGGAGGAGGGGGGCAGGGGCGAGCGGGAGTGACCAACTAGTGACTATTCTCCTTGGGGATGGGGATGGCCGGTGGTGTGGACGGGGGAGAATCTCCTTGAAGGCTGAGATGGCTCCAAGTTGATGTGCCTGGCAATGGAATACTAGAATTGAGCCAACCTTCTGTGACAGTCTCTGTTGTCTGGTGCCTGAGCCAGGCGAGTTCACAGTACTTCAGGGCACTGCTGGTGACTGACCAGCCGGTCTAGCTCATTGGCAGGACTTGGAGGTACAGACCATTCTCTGGGAGCTGGGGTTTTCCCACTCAGCTCCTGTTAACCCTGCACGTGAGAGCCCTCACCAGTGTAGGTGGATACTCTGAAGAATGGAGATGACTTTCTGCCTGTGTCAGACCGACCAAAGCGATACTAATGGCCAAAAAAGGAAGGAGGGCCCTTGTCTCACCGTTACCATCTCATGACCATGTAAAAAATAACTGAAAGTAGATTATTCCACTAAACAACCATCAAATCATGCATGATTCACCACTAAGTTATTTCCTGCCTGGAGCAGTGGGTTCTTATTCTTTGAAATTCATACTGACCTAAGCCATAGCAAGGAATATACATAGCATAAAATATTTACACATATATAGATATAGACACACGCATAAAAATCGATCTAAAAAGGTGGAAAAATGCACCCAATAAAGTGCCGAAAATCTACACTTTCTGTGGGGGAGCGAGAAATGTCTTGACATCCACCCCCACCACACACACACACGCATCAAAATGAATCTCCACCTCCCCTCCCACCACAGAAATGTCTATTCTCACTGCAATTGCAAAGCTTGCCTGACAGCAATATCAATGGCAGGCTATGTGGTTTTAGCTGGTGAGACTCCAGCAGTTACCCCAAAACATTCTCTGAGGTCCCCAAACTTTGGTTCTCGCAAACCTGCACCTAATATTTCCCAGAATTAGGTAAGAAGGATGCCTCCGTCCAGCGAGAGTGTGTGCATTCCAGAGATCCACCAGACACTCGTGTTTAAAAGGGCTGAGACTGCATAGTGATCCCTGCACACAGGTCACACTACAGAGTTTAAAACTGTTTGAGAGCAATTGCTGATCATTGAAAGGCAGGGTCTGACCATATGGCTGAGGAGCTCTCTTTAAACAACAACAGCTTACATTTATACAGCGACTTTCACACAGAGTAATGTCTTGGAGCGTTTTAGAGTGGCAAGGCGGTGCCGGGGGGGTGGGGGGAGGTGACCATAGGCACAGTCGAAGAGGTAGGATTTGAATACAGATGGGTGGGGGGAAACGGAGGGCTTGAGGAAGATAGTTTCAGGGGTTGAGGGAGTTTAGGCAATATCATACTGAGCTGGGATAGGACTCCTTATCTCATGCCCAAGGGACAGAACTGTTTTTTTTAGAAATACAATTATAAGGCAAGAGTTTAACTTCTATTCAATTCTTAAGGTTGAAATTTAATTTCTCCTCTCAGATCAGGTAAATGAGGTGCATGTGGGGGAGAGCAGGGGACAGGGGTGTAACATGGAACAGGATAGTCAGTTGGCCAGTAGTTAAATCTTGGGTTAACCGTTGGTCAGTCTTGTTTGGAATTTCCATGTATAGGTGGGATGCATGGAACTCTGTTTGGTTTGGATACTCTTAAGCATGGCGATGGGTTTCAGCTTGTGTCAGATATCCGACTAACACCCCCCCCCCCCCCCTTCCTGTACAGTTTGGTGCTGAACCAACTTCATTCCCTCACATAACAAAGCATCGGTCAGAAAGCAAAGTCTACTTAATTTTTCAAGACTGGGGTGGATAGACATTTGTTAGGTCAGGGTATCAAGGGATACGGGGCAAGGATGGGTGATTGGAGTTGAGGTACAGACCAGCCATCATCTTATAGGATGGTAGAACAGGCTTGAGGGGCTGATTGGCCTACTCCTGTTCCTAGACCAGCAGTGTCTGGAAATACCACATACAAACTGGCAGCCAACACACAGACAAGCCCATCCCCGTGGCTTTCTCTCTCAAGATGTGATAAGGCGCTATATCAAATGCAAGGTTGATTATTATTATTATTAAGACGTCTCGACTAAAAAAGAAAGTTGCAAATACCACCCCAATGTTGACAGATCTCCAATGGCAGAACCGCACGGGCAAGAAAGGACCAGAGGACTAGGTGTCTCCAGACATCAATTAGGTGATGTAAAAAGTTCAACCCCTTGGAGGGGGAGTAGGGAGGAGGTAACACTGCANTTTTTCCCTATAAAATCACACAAGCAACCCACAAAAACACGCATCGCACGCACACATGGCAATTATAAGAATCACACGGTCGTTTCACCCTGCTTGCCGCTGAAAATTTTTGTGTAAAATTTCCGCCAGGAATGCAGCGTCTTTCCCGACCAGATCCAGAAGCTGGAGGTGATGCCCACGATCATGGTCATCAGGTACTTAATCATGAAGACGGTGAAGTCCGGCGTCATGGGTGCAAGGTTTAGGTTGGCCGGGCAGGGCACGGCGTAAGATTTGCAAGTGCGCCTGAGCCAGGTGGTTTGCCACTGGTCCCTGAAGGCTTGCTCATAGAAGTAGCAGGCGATGACGATGGTGGCCGGCACGGTGTAGAGCACACTGAAGATCCCGATCCTCACCATCAGCTTCTCTAGCTTCTCCGTCTTGGTGCCGTCCAGCTTCATGATTGTCCTGATCCTGAAGAGCGAGACGAAGCCAGCCAGGAGGAAGGAGGTCCCGATGAAGAGGTAGACGAAGAGCGGGGCCAGCACGAAGCCCCGAAGTGAGTCCACGCTGCTGATGCCCACGAAGCAGACTCCGCTCAGCACATCCCCGTCTACCTGCCCCATGGCCAAGATGGTAATGGTCTTGACGGCGGGCACCGCCCAGGCCGCCAGGTGGAAATACTGAGCATTGGCCTCGATGGCCTCGTGGCCCCATTTCATGCCGGCCGAGAGGAACCAGGTCAGGGAGAGGACCACCCACCAGATGGAGCTGGCCATGCCGAAGAAGTAGAGGACCATGAACAAGATGGTGCAGCCCTCCTTCTTGGTGCCCTGCGCCACCGTCTTGTACCCGTCCTCCGCAAAACGTTCCACGCACACCGCCTGGTCCTGCAGGAAGAAGCCGGCTACGTAGGCCAGGGACACCATGAGGTAACAGCCAGACAGGAACACAATGGGCCTCTCCGGGTACCTGAAACGCTTCATGTCCACCAGGTAGGTCAGCACCGTGAAGAAGGTGGAGATGCAGCACAGGAAGGCCCACATGCCAACCCAGAGCCTGGCAAAGGTCAGCTCCTCTTGGCCAAAGTACATGAGGCCGTTGGGCTTGGTGTGCTCGCAGGGCGCCCCGCAGTTCTTCTCGCCCAAGAAATGGTAGTTGAGGTAGGACGGCACCCGCAGCTGGCGAGGGCACCGGAACGCCTGGGTGGGGCGCCCTCGGGTCACCGGCTCCGGGTCCCCCGCAGGGGTGGGGTGGGCAGCGGTGGGGCTGCCCAGGTCCGAGTTGTTCTGCCCCACGCAGATCTCGCCAGCGCCGTGGACCGGGAAGTTCTCGCAGCGAAGCCGCTCCGGCCACTGGAAGCCAAACTTGTTCATCAGAGCCTCGCAGCCCTGTCTCGCCCTCTCACACAGGGACCTGCAGGGCGGGATGGCCTGTTCCAGCACCGTGCACACCGGGGCGTACATGGAGCACAGGAAGAAGCGGAGGTCCGGGGAGCACTGGACCTTGACCAGAGGGTAGAACTGGTGGACCTCCAACCCCGCGTCCTCCTGGTTGGTGTGGCCCAGGAGGTTGGGGAGGATGGTCTGGTTGTAGGCGATGTCGGTGCACAGGGGGATGGAGATGGGTTGGCAGAAGCCGTGGTCGGGCACCGAGATGCCCTTCTCGCCCCGGTACTGCCCCGCGGCGCCGCCGGTCAGTGCGAGCACCAACCCGGACACCAGCAGCCGCTCCGCCCGACCCATCGCCGCTCTCCTCCCGCCGTCCCCGGCGGAGCCCCGGACCCGAGCGATCAACTTTGCTCTCCCGTTTTCCGTGCAGATCTGTTCTTTCCTCTCTCTCTCTCTCTCTTTTTCTTCTCTCTCTCTCTTTCTATCCCTCTTCTTCTATCACTCTCTCTCTCCTCTCTCTATCCCTCTCTCTCCTCTCTCTATCCCTCTTTCTATCTCTCTCTCTCTCCTCTCTCTATCCCTCTTTCTATCTCTCTCTCTCTCTCCTCTCTCTATCCCTCTTTCTCTCTCTCTCTCCTCTCTCTCTCCCCCTCTATCTCTCTCCTCTCTCTTTCTATCCCTCTTTCTCTCTCTCTCTCCTCTCTCTCTCCCTCTTTCTATCTCTCTCCCTCTCTCTTTCTATCTCTCTCTCTCCCTCTCTCTTTCTATCCCTCTTTCTCTCTCTCCTCCTCTTTCTATCTCTCTCTCTCCCTCTCTCTTTCTATCCCTCTTTCTCTCTCTCGCCTCTCTCCCTCTTTCTGTCTCTCCCTCTTTCTGTCTCTCTCTCTTTCTATCTCTCTCTCTTTCTATCCCTCTTTCTCTCTCTCGCCTCTCTCCCTCTTTCTATCTCTCTCTCTCTTTCTATCTCTCTCTCTTTCTCTCTCTCTCTCTTTCTATCCCTCTCTCTCTCTCTCTCTCTCTCAGTGGAGTAGTGAAGCCGAGGATTTCGCACTCGCGAACAATCCGAACAAAATAAATCGCAGCCCCAGAATTTGTTGCGGATCAAACGATAAAATAACTCGAGCGAAAGAGAGAGGAGAGGGAGAGGGAGAGAGGGAAAGGAGAGGAAGAAGGAGAAAGAGACGGAGGAGGAGAGAGAGAGAGAGAGGGGGGGGGGGGGGGAGGGGGTGGGGGGGAGGCGCAGAAAGTTAAATCGCCCGATTTTTTGGGGGGAAAACATTCAAATCCTTAAAAAACACACGATCCGCGCGGTATGTTTTTTAGTGACGGACCGAAGGCGGAGAGAGATGGACAGAGTGTGGGCCATCCCAGGGGGAGAGGGGGGGGGAGAGGGGGGGGAAGAGGGGGGGAGAGGGGGGGGGAGGGGGGGGGGGGAGAGGGGGAGAAGGGGGGGAGAGGGGAGAGGGGGAGACCTTAAATAACTGCAAGAGAGAGGGGGGGGAGTAACTGCATCCGATTCGTGGTGTGTGTGTGGGGGAGGTGTGGGGGTGTGGGGGTGTTGGGGTGGGTCGTGTGTGTGGGGGTGGAGGGGGATGTGTAAGGGTGTGGGTGTGTAAGGGTGTGTGTGTGGTGGGGGTGTAAGGGTGTGTGTGTGGGGGGGTGTAAGGGTGGGGGTGTATGTGTGAGGGTGTGTGTGTGGGGGGTGTAAGGGTGTGTGTGTGGGGGGGTGTAAGGGTGGGGGTGTATGTGTGAGGGTGTGTGTGTGGGGGGGGCGGGGGGGGCTGTGTAAAGGTTGGGGTGTGTAAGAGTGTGTGTGCGGGTGTGTGTGTGTGTGTGTGTGAGAGGGGGTGAGGGATGATGTGTGTGTGTGTGTGGGGGGGGGTGGTGTGGGGGGGGTTGTGTGTGTGTATGGGGGGGAGGTGTGGGGGTTGTGTGTGTGTGAGTGGGTGTGGGGGTGTGTCGGTGTGTGTGTGGGGGGGGTGTGTGTGGGGGGGTGTGTGTGGGGGGGTGTGGGGGGGGGTGTGGGGTGGGGGGTGTGTGGGTGGGGGGGTGGGGGTGTGTGGGGGGGGGTGGGGGGTGTGGGGGGGTGTGTGTGGGTGTGGGGTGGGGGGTGTTGGGGGAGTGTGTGGGGGGGGTTGTGTGGGTGTGTGTGTGTGGGGGGGGTTGTGTGTGGGGTGGGGGTGTTGGGAGTGTGTGGGGTGGGGTGTGTGTGTGTGTGTGGTGGGGGTTGTGTGTGGGGGGGGGGGTGTGGGGGGTGGGGGGGGTGTGGTGTGGGGGTGGGGGGGGGGTTGGGGGGGGGGTGTTGGGGGGTGTGGGGGGGTATCCGGGGGGGGGGGGGGGAGGGCTGTCACAAATCGCAAAGGAAAAAGTTACTGCAGCGCCGATCACCTTTCAAAGGCAGTGAGGGGTTTCCGGGTGATTGACAGTGAGGGGCGGGGCCGCGGGGCGGAGGGCGGGGCCGCGGGGAGGGGGCGGGGCTAGAGGCGGGGTCGCGATCCCCGCGGGGGTTATTACACCCGCTGTTTCCAGGCGCCCCCCCACCGCCCGGTCCGCAAAACTGTGGCGGGAGGGGGGGCCCAGACACCGCCCGCTGTAACCAATCGCACGGTGTGTTCCCTCGCGCCGCTCTGATTGGCCGCGGAGCCGTGACGTCACTGAACCCGTTCAACAACTTTTTGAAAACTTTTCTTTGCAGCAAAAAGTTTTTCTTTAAAGGGCAATCGGACTCCATCACACAGAGAGAGAGAGAGGGAGACACAGAGACAGAGACAGAGAGAGAGAGAGAGAGACAGAGAGAGAGACAGAGAGAGAGACAGAGACACAAAGAGAGAGGGAGAGACAGAGAGGGAGAGAGAGAGAGACACTTAGAGAGAGAGAGAGAGACAGAGAGAGAGAGAGGGAGAGAGAGACAGAGACACACACAGAGAGAGAGAGAGAGAGAGAGACGCGAGGGGGTAAGCCCCCGCCGCTGTCCATACAACGCAAAGCAATTTATAATAATAATAATCCTTGCATTTGATACAGCGCCTTATCACGTCGCCGAGAGGTCTCAAAAGCGCTTCACAGGATGTACTTTCAAATGGATTGACTGTGTATTTTGTGGGCAAGATGCGGCAGCCAATTTGCGCATAGCAATGTCCCACAAACAGTGGTGGGGTGAGTGACCAATTTTATTTGGGGCACTTATTGGCCAGGGCACCAGGAAAAACTCTTTTTCGAATAGCGCAACACACACCCACAGCACTGCATTGGAGTGTCATCTCAGAGCTTGTGATTCCAAGTCCTGAACTGGGGCTTGAACCCACAACCTACTGACACAGAAGTGAGAGTGCGCCAGACTGACGCACCGGCAAAAAAAAAAGAGAATGGGACAAGCACCCACCATACATTTAGTGCAATGCAATTTACATTTGATATATGTATGTAGCAGGTACCTTTCGAGCCAGGAGGATGTCTCAAAATGCTGGGCACTGTTGGCTGGGCACCCATGGAAACCAAAGGTGGTTGGAGGGGAAAGATAGGAAAGGGGTGAGTACATCTGGAAAATTGCACTGCCAGTCGGTCTTCATGAAGGCGTGGAACCCTGTCCAGTCCAGGATTAGACTCAGCTTTAATTAGATGGTTATCAACTATTGGAACAAGTTATCAAGAAAGGCAGTAGAGGCCCGGGCACTGGGCTGCTTAAAAAGCAGCCAGTTTAGTGAGGTGAGAATAATAAAATAATCCTTCCTTGCATTTTGATATAACACTTTTCACGTCTTCTAGACGTCTCAAAGCGCTTCACGGAATATACTGTAAAGTGAATTGACTGTATATTTGTAGGCAAAACACAGCAGCCAATTGCACACAGCAGCGTACACAAACAGTCTTGAATTGAAGTGACCAATTTATGACCAATGTGAAAAGGGTTAGAAACCCTGACCAATACTCAGCAGGTTCCCAATGTTAGTCATAGTTCTCTCAGAACACGGACCTGCATGATAGAACCAATGATAGCGAGAGGATGCAAGCTCCAGCTAGTAGCATGCTGATTTCAGGCACTGTGTATTAAATGAACTGCCATAGTGTGTTAATAGATTTGAGTAAAACACTCAGGTGACTGTATTGGAGTAAAGAGGGCAGAGGCTTATAGTTGTAGCACAGTGCTACTTAAAAACACAACTAAAACATCTTGCATTTATAGAACGCCCTTCATGCTGGATGGCACCTCGGAGTGCTTAAACAAAGCACTACAGTTAAATAATAATAATCTTTACATTTGATATAGCATCTTTCACATTAGGAGGATGTCTCAAAGCGCTTCACAGAAATAAAGAGGATTTTCCAGGCGAACGCAGTAGTCAATTTTGGGCAAGGTCACTTCTCACACACAGCTGCCAAGACAGACAGAGCTTTATTCCATTAAATAATTTATTATTCCAGCATTTAATTGGTGCCAGAATGAGTGTGTCATAGTCTAGGCTGGCACTCCAGGGTAGTGCTAGAGGTGTGCTGCATTGTTAGAGATGCCATCATTTGGATGAGATATTATAAACCAAGGGCCCATCTGCAAATTTAGGTGGACGTTAAAGATACTATTTGCCCTTCCAGAAAAAAGTTGGTAATTTTGTCGGTGTTTCTAAAACATTGCTGTATGCAATTGATACCAATTTCACCTAAAAAAAAATCCCAAATTACTACAATTCAAGTGAAACTTGTAGAGTGCATTGAGACGTCCTCCTTATGTGAAAGAAATTATGTGAAAGAAATTATATCAAATGCATCATCTGATCTGGTACACAGCAATCTTGAAACTCTCCCCCCACCCACTCCACCCCGCAGTCTCAATATTTTGGTTTCTGAGGCAGGCATAACCGTAGTTCTCCCGGGCACTGTTGCTGGTAGACCAGTCCACCTGGCTCATTGAAGGAGCAGACCATTCACTCGAGACAGCGAACCTATTCATCTCCTGTTAACCCTGCAGGTCAAAGCCCTAAGAGCAGTACCAGCTGGAAAAGCACCAGGAAGTTTGCAATTGGAAGCGATTTTAGCTGGTTTAACCCCAGCAGTACCCTAACGCATACTCTGGGTTTTCCACACCTTGGCTTCTAGCTCAATACTTTCTGGTATTAGGTGAGCAGGGAGAGAGAGCGGGGGGGAATGGGGGGAGGGAGAGTAAGAGAGAGCGCACACCATTCCAGAAAATGGAAATTTCTATGTGTGGGTGGAATTCTGAATTTTGGGTAGTTTGGTTTGGTTTGAGTACCCTTCAGCATGTCAGGCAGACTGACCTGTTAATTAATAGAACAATGCAGAAAAACTGGCAATAAAGATAGCAAAATAATGAGCCGGAACCCCACCCCCCCACCCCCCCCTCCCAGCCAAGCTCTATATCATCTGCCGCAAGGGTCCTCTGGGATCTTGGAAGTTTGTTGATCTCCTTGTTGTTTTTAAGGAGTGCTGTGTATTCACCAAGCCATTCTTCTGCTGCATTTTGTTAACAATAATAGTCCTTG